TCTGTGAAATAGAACCTAAACGTTTTGCGTGCTCGTGTGTGTGTGTGTGTGTGTGTGTGTGTGTGTGTGTGTGTGTGTAAATATTGGTTATGATAAGTTATATATAATTGATTGTCAAATATTTGTATTAACTTAGATAAGCGTCAACAGGAGGGATCAAATTGCTTCTATTGACATTTTCTTGTTGGAATATCAATTGCAGTGTCAAAATGTTATTTACGCATGTGCTTGAGAGTGACATAAAATTCAAGAGCACACGGTGTACAAAATATGGATTTTATTTGACCCATTCCAGTTATGTGATTTGAGATATTTATTCATGTTTGATAATAAAGCAAAACGCAAGTTCTGCATGTTCGGCATGCAAGTTGGGGAGGAGGGAAAAAAAAAAAGATTCTTTTGAATAAGTGAGAATTTACAAGTTTAGCCACAAACACACCGCGGCCTTTCACATCTTCCAAGTAAAATATTAGATAGCAGTAGTCAAGCCAAAGAAAAGTTCCTCCTCCAGGGTCCAAATAATTACTCGAGTGTCATAACAGATCAAACCTTATTTCTTTGACCTTGTCTCCAGCTCGAGGAACAGCTCAAGACTTTTTGGGCCTCACAAAAAAAAAAAAAAAAATTAAAAACCGTGGCTGAAGGAGTAAGTGAGCAAAGGTATTGAAGTTAACAAAAGATTGACTTGGTCGTTAACTTTTACTTCACGGGTGGTCTGGCATTCCAAACGCCTCAACCAATTTGCCAATATTTGTACACAAGCCATTACATAGTCACGTTTTCCATAACATTCACTTGGAGAAAAAAATAGTGAAGATTCAAAATGTTTTGAGTTTGTATTGAATTAATCAGTTTGGGGCCTCCTGACTTAAAAATAAATATGCTTTTTTTTAACTGAAGGGGGCGCCACGGAGTAAAATTGAGACGCAGCATCTAATACAAGGGCAGCCATTATTTGAGCGACACGTTAAGCCGGGACTTTGTAGCATTTTTACATCTGTACTTCCTTATACTTCGAAACGATATTCTTGTTCCGACACAAGATTCAGAACAGCGTTTACAGGTAAAAGGGAAGCTGCATGCGTGTCGATTCACGCATGTCATCGGGGTTGCAGGAAAGCAGTTGCAGTCATGGTCTCAAGCAGGAAAGCAGAGATGGACTACAAAAGGTGGAAGAAGGTGACTCCGGAGCTCCCTCTGAGACGCTGAAAGCTGCCACGTAAGTCGTGGCATCGCCCCAGACGCGTACCCTTAAACGACGTGCAAAGATGAGGTCCACTCGAAGTCATTTTACACCGCAACATTTTCCATGTGTCGGACAGAACTTTTGTTTCCTCAGGTTTTCCTGTCATGCGTGACCTCATCGGTTCGACTTGATTTAATGATTTAATTTCAGGAAATACAGTCAGTTAAGAAGCTCATAATTATTGCGCCTTCTTGGAATGCTTGTTGAGTGGGAATAGAAAATGACTCTCTGGTCCCATAATTCACGCTGGTGAACCCTGACTTGGAGCCCGACTTTCCCCATTTGGCCTGAAGGCAGTCGCACCTCTTTGACACTTACTTAACCTGTCCTCTCAGACTTTAGAGGGGAGGATCAAATGGAACACAGTCAACTGCTTACAGATGGAAGAAACACACCTGCACCTGAGAAGATATGATTTATCTATATTGGACACCCCCAAGGTCGTTCTTTTTTTTTCTTTTATTCCCTCTACTATCATTAGCCAAAATTGAAGCGTTTTGAGTCAATGTTTTGAAAGTAGCAAAAAAAAAAAAAAAAACCAACTACCAGAACACATTTGATTGTTAATTTGAGGCAAAAATGGATGACAAAAAGGGCACAACAAAAGATTGGCCTACGACAGACTGAACGTCAACTGGGAGTGGTGATAAACAGCTTTCAGCCTCTCTTTTTTTTTTAAATTGCCCACTCTTTTTCAATTGTGAAGCGAGACGAGTTGACTTTGCTAGCATATACCGTGCTCAGTTTTTCGCTCGCATGTCAAAGCAAACAAATTGGCCAGCAACAGTTTGTATTGCGAAGTTAGATGACTCGTACCTCAAGGCACTACTGTAAACCCCTATCAATTCCAGATCCATGGTCCTGCTGTTTCTCAGGGTTTTTTTTTAAAATAGCTAATAACGCTATTTTGCCCGCACTCTCGTTGATATTGGTTATAATTACATTTCTGACCACTAGATGGAGCAAATTTGAAAGAAGAAGCACAAACCAGGAAGTATTTCAGCACAGCCTAATTTTGGTACAAAATTATCGAGTGTCATCTGCTGCAATCCTGCTTTTTACGCCGACGGGAAGTGATCCATTTTAAAATGTACATCTTTGGGTATGATTATTCATATGTATTTTGTGGTGATAAGTTAAATTTCTGAGGTTTTGTGTGACCCATTCTTCTTGCTGTATCTTTCATGTAGTATGTGTTTGAATGTGTTTGTATTTTAAAAAATTCAAATGAGTTAAAAATGGAAATGCTATAAGATCATGCCAATGGAGGAAGGTTTTTGTTTGCTCTTTCCACACCTCAAGCATCACTTCCGCCACCTGTCAGCTGAACCGCATCACTAAACTGACTCACAAAGTGTCTCTTCTTATTCACTGGAGGGATGACAGATGCGTGCTTTCACGTTGATGCCGTCGTCCCATGCAGACGTGCGTCCGTTCGGAGAACAGGCCGAGCGCTCGGGGACAATTTGTTGCTCGCGCAATTTCAGGACGGACGCGGGTGGATGATTTGACATCAACGCATCTCAAATCAGCATCCTCAGCCAACGTTTTAACCGCGTACACATGAATGAGTCCTTATTGAGTGGCTCACACGCCTCTCTCTTTCAAGGCTCATTTCAGAGTCTGTACTTGATTTACACCATTTCCCAGCAATTACGGCAAAAAGAGAACCGCGGGCTTGATTGATGAGCCACATGAAAGTAAATTACAGTAGTTTTGCCAAGGTTTTTTTGGAACATCTTCTCTCTCACTCTCTCTCTCGCCTGCGAATTGATATTCCCTCCCTGACCCCGCGAGTCGACTCTGGGCATGATGAGAAAGCCTCTGCAGGGAGCCGTAAAGGCCTTTAAACGCTCAATTTGACGGCTTGACGCTTCAGCGGGAGAATTTGAGAGAGATGAAGAGAAGAAAATGGCACATCCAGAAGAAAAGCAGGAACATTTCCTTCCTTGTGTCAGAAAGTAAAAAGGAAAAGAAAAAAAAGGAGTAAACTTAAGTACATGTTAATTCATCACTGGCCTGAACGGCTCCTTGATGATCCATAACTCACTCCAACCATAACTCCCTTGTCCCGTTCCATGTTGGATCTACAATGCCGGTCTTTTAATGACTTCATTATAGGCAACGCTTCGCTGTCCAATAAAAAGGCTTTCGCTCTGAATTGCGATCTATATTACGACTCACGAACTTTGTGATATTTGGATGGAAAAGAGTAATGGAAACGAGGTGAAACGGTAACACAAAAGTTGCGCAAATGAAGAAAATCAAGAAATGGAAGGCGATCCGAGAGACGCCATAAAATGACCAAAAGTTTGAAGATTGGCTCATCCGTTTTCCTGTTTGACTTTTATATAAGTTCTAATTGCTAGCAGACGAGGCACAAAAAATGTGTTGATGCTGTCATGTGTCTTGGGGCAACAAGCGCCGAAAACATATGGAAACTGCATTTTGGTCACACTTTGCTTCAGCGGATTCCTGAAAGTGATCTGTTTCCGTCATTGCTCGTCCTCTCTCTTCTATTCCGTGTGGACAGCGTGGCGTGTATTGTCTAGATGTTGTGCGGATAGACAAGCAGACGGCCGATAAAACGTATGAGCGTCCATCTCGGCCTTTACGCGCTGCTCTTAACTCATTTCGACTTTCAAACCGCGGCCAAAGTTTGAACTATCACCCAAAATGTGAGACAATGGTAGCATTTGCAACCACTTTCATCAAGATGAACTTCCATTGGCAATATCCTTCGGAAAGTAGAGCCATAAATTTTATCACTATTAAATGTTTCTAAAGGGAGTTGACGAATAGTTGAATGGAATTGATTTCCCCCACCCGCTCTTGGCACGGATGTGCAAAGGAAAATTCCCTTTCTTCACCAAGGAAAAAAAAAAAGTATACTCACATCAGCGCTGCCAATAAATTCATCTTGATGCCGTCGGAGTGTAATTTAAGCCTTTTGAAAACGACTAAAAATACAATGTGCTAGAGGGCTGTTGCGATTATTTTATGAGCACAGTAAAATTGTCAGAGCGTATGGATTAGATGAATGTTGATATATGGTTTAGCGTTTTTCATGGGTGTTTACAGCACAATTGTTATGTCTGCTGCCGAACGAACGAGCAACTGGCGGCTGGGAAAAAAAAAAGACTACATCGGCGGAAATATTGACAGAAATATTGCTGAAAATCCAGATACACATCTGCGAGAATAACTGCGGGATGGAAGTTTGAATAAACAAACTAACCATTTGTTGAAAGCCTCCACAAACTGAGGAGCCTGTCATGCCTTTTCAACAATAACCAGGCATGTTAGACATGTCAGTATTTGGTTTCCCAAATAAGAGGAACGGCTCAACTTTTTGGAGTTGCACAAATTGTGAAATTCTGGCCTAATTCTAAGATTGATGTCAAAGTGACAAGTGTTGACTATAAAAAGAGTCAAACGAATGTAATATTCTTTTCATGAGGGCAAATTCACTCAATAAGATTGAGATCATTCATTGACTGAGTATGTGTACTTAAAGATGTGTGGTCACGTGAAACCGCTTTTGCCATTGCGCAATGATGACAAGACAATCATAAAGCCCCTTTCACTGTTTTTTTACAGCTTTTTTTCCTCAGGTCACAGTTCTGTGTGCAAGGTACCACAATACAAAGGTGGGCAAGTCCGTCAGTCCGTCACTGACTGACGTCCAACTGACAAACACACCCCGCATGCCTCTTGGGTTTGTTCACGGGCGGTGAACAACAGTGGGGCTGCTGACTGGATATGGAAGCGCTTTACGCTTCCTGTACAGCAGGTGGCGGTATTCACCAAAGACCTGTAGTCCGCCAAAAAGCTAAGAAAAGAAGAATAAGATGAAGAAGAAGAAGAAGGCGAAGTAGTAGAAGTAAAAGTTTCGCTTTCCACAAGGATTTACGAGGCACATTAGTCCACCAGAATTGCACCATCAGCTACCATGTGACACGGGATTCTGGTTAAGGTAAGCCATTTTAAATTCTAAATGAAAACTTTTTTTTTTGCATTTTAGGTGAGTATCCATGATGCAGCATGTCAAGAACCTGTTTTGCTTGTTTTTAAAATAACTTAACTTGCAAGACCTCCAAAAAGGTTCCCATCATTTTGTTGGGAGCAAAAGAACTATCTGGGAATAATCTTAATGTCCTCTATTGGCCATGTATTCAGCCAGCCACAAGATGATTCTGCAGAGGGGGAGGGGGGTGGAATTTCCCTGCCATCAGTGAGGGTGATTTACCGACATGTTTACAGATGTCTTTCAGATGACCCCTTTCACTGTCTTTCACTATTAGTTGCCAAATGAATTAGCAGTGGACAAATAGGAGGATGTCTCCCTGGATCAGGCCATTTTATTGAGGTTGCGCATCACTGCAAACCTTCTATACTCCCTTCCCCAAAGCAAGCAAGGGAACACAGATGGTCATGGCATGTTTTGGCATTGAACAATTGGAACAACTTTTTTGAAATAATTTTTTTTCAGCACATTTGTTGAAGATCTTGTTTAGCCATTATTGCTGCAGCATTTGTTTTTGTTCAGTTTTGATCAAGTGTGTGGTATCAAAAAAAACTGCTTGTATAGGCAACAACCTATACCCTTTGAACTGAAGTTTTTCAGATTCCTCATCCTGAAGCAATTCACTATATGAGCTTTTGCTGCACTCTCTCTTATTTTCCATTCTGTTAGCCAGCTGCTAACACTCAAGTGTGTTTATTTTAATAAAGTTAAAATAAATGAACTGCTCAGATTAAAGCAGATGTGTAAATATTGTGAAACGCGTGTTCATCGGCTCACAGAGACCCAGTGATTTCCTTTAACTACCAAATAATGATGCGACGTCTATTGAGGTTTTCCCATTTTTGTTTGCCTGACACTGCGGCTAAACAATGTTGATTTGAAAAACTCTGCACCCATTTTGCAACCAACTTTTGCAACCGGCTCCATGAGGCACTCGGCGGTGTTTTGGATACCATCGACACTTGATGACACTCAAATACATCTTGCCATGACAAGCGCGTGCAGCAGATGGTGGACGTTTTATTCCCTTTAACAGACACACCCCAATGGTGATGAGCCTACTAAGCTGCAGCATGGCAGTCACACGGGGCTATGTAGGGAAAGCCCTCCAGGCACATCATTTTTGCCTGTCAGGGTGCAGGCATTCATTTTATTTCCTAATCTTTTTTTAATGCCTGTGTCCTGTGACTGCACGTTCCCCTCTAGCCACAGGAGCACTCGCAGCGAGATAGTGTTAGGTTGAAACGAAGTTTCTCCGCTCTTAAACGGTAATACTTGAGTTGAATTGAAATCATAAAACCCATCTGGCTACTCTTGTGAAGGCCTTCTCGTTGTTTACTTTTCAATGTCCAAACTCCTTCCTTCAAATAAAACCTTACAAGTGCGTATGTCGACGTCATCCATTACAGCCAGCTCAGCTAAGACTTCCTTATCCACCTCAAGAGAACCCCCCCGACCCCCCCTTGGTTTTAAAACTTAGTCATGCACTGTTTAAGGTTGCAAATTGGCCCAAAAATGAAGTCTTAAAAACCAAGCGGCAGCTTATAATAACCGACAGAGTGCAAGATGTTTCATCAGGAGGATCTGTGTTTTTCTAAAGCGAGTGTTATTTCATCATTATAGCTTCCTGCCTGGCTAAATTTAAACCAAACGCCTGCGCCTTTACATTGTGTGGCTGGATAATTACCCTCTGGAGACAAAAGGCAAGGGGCCCGCCTGGACTTTCTTATCTTTAAGTTTTTCACCTGTCCTAAGATACCGTTTCCGTTTTAAGTCTTGCAGCAGGGATTTACTGGGCTGCTTCCTTCCGGTACCCGGTGGAATACAACATTTAACTGCAGGGAGGAGAGAAAAGCTGTAGTGTGCGTTTAAAAAAAAAAAAAAAAAAGAGAGAGAGAGAAGTTATGTGAAAACCATTCTCCCCTTCCTGTAGTTTTTCTCCCCCCCCAAATCCTCTAAGGGCCCAAGAACATTACAAGACAGTTTATATGAATGGACACTAACAGACTTTTTCACCATTTTGATGTTTCTACATTTTGCAGGCATATCCTGTGGTCTGTTGGGTACAGCCTTAGTTTCAATTGAGTGCCTCCCTGTGGAGCCCTGTCTTCCTATTTCAGATAGATTTTTATCTCTATGCACTAAGTGCTTCAAAGCGGGGGATATTTTGCTTTCTACTAGGGGAAACAGTAAGTACAAGGTAACATTTTGATTTCTGGATCCAAACGCGAGCTGTCCTTCCAGCAGGACCTCCAGTGGAATCCGTCAGAGAGACGCAGAATACATACATCAGCATTAACCGAAATTAATTTGATTTAAGGTGACTGTCTTTGAAAGAGAAAGCTGAGCGCTTGCGTTTTCATGAGAGTAGCCTTCAAAAAAAAAGAAAAAGAAAATAAAAAATACAAAAAAATGGAGTCAATGAAAAGGCCAAGTGGGAAAAGCTTTTTCACAGCAAAAGTCTGCAAAGATCGTTTATTAGAAATTATCCCCGGGGGGGCTTTTGCATAACCATAACAATTGCGCCAGCCAGTTAAGATAAAACATGGACGATCGCGCCGTGACCTCGTCTCACAGAAGGAGACGCTTTAATACATGGTGGCGGAAACTTTGGTGCAAATCGCCCGACATCAACCAATTTGAAGCGGACCGTAAGAGCCGCGCGGCTTTGCAGTTTTGTTCGAGGCTTGCGTACGACGGCGTCGCGTCCGCTCGGAATTTACACGGCACCGAAACGTATCGCATGACAATCCTCGCTGGAACGAGCACAAAGGATGACAAGGGAACGCGACGGAGCGCAAGCAAAAGCAAGAGAGTGAAATACACACAAAGGCGAACGGACGGCAAAATGAGAAACAGCTGAGCGGCGCACATGGGGAGGCAAAGAGCTGATTGGCAGCTGGCAAACCAAACCGCTTCCGCGCGCTTTGCACAATGACTGAATGAACCTCAAACGCATTCTAATCTTTCCCAGGTGAATCGAATGTGACCTCCTCTCAACTTGCCATTGCTCATGTCCACTCGTTGGAGGTTCGAAGTACTTTTTGCGCAATTTGCTCGAGAACCGGCAAAATTCACAGACATCCGTTTCTGTGCCTTTCGCATCCTCTTCCGTTTTCTCAGCTGCACGTTAGATTCAGGCTTTTAAAAGATCTGGAATATTTGGTCATGTAAGCACGTAACAGAACATTGTTTTTTTTTTTTTTTTTTTGTATGCCCTACAAACTCAAGAGCACTTGCAGCTATCGGCCCGGGTCCAATTCGTGGCCAGTTGCAGTAATCATATCTGCCACAGCTGCCGCTTCATCAGAGATCCTGCGATGACTGGATTCCTGGAGGTAAGCACGCCACCGCGACAGCTTTTGTTGAGTGACAATTCCGCCCCCGCTCGCGTATTTCGAAACGCACTTTGACGATCGCCAAGCCCAGTCTCAACAAAAGTGAGTTCTTTCCCAATGCTGGGCCAATACGTTTCTGATGCCGCTTATGTCTATCGCGTCTTAACGACAAGGCTTGACCAAAGACACGCCGATTAGTCCCAACAAACAGTGGCGGTGACCTCACATGATTAACTACATACCACTTGTGTCTCCCCCCCGCACATCCACGTCAGATCCCTTTTCAGCAATTAGCCTTGAACTAGGAAAGACGATCCGCTCCGGTTTACCCTGGCTGCGTCCCTCGTCATGCAAGAGTACTCTGAATGGTCCCCCCCGCCCCCTGCGTCCTAATTAAGACCTTAATGCTACCTCCCTCGAGGACGCGGGTCCCCCGCCGCGACCCGTCGCATTCCATCTGTGGCGATCAAAACTGTTACGATCATTGTCAGCTTTGCACAGGTGCAACGTGTTTATGTTTGGTCGTCTCTCCGTTTTGCCACTGACGCACCAAAGCTTGGTGATTCGTGGTCATCGGCATCACGTTGACGTGTTTTAAAATGTGAGGATGTCTTTTAACCAACAGTTCTGAGCAAAGTTCCCGATCATGTCAACCCACCCGATTAAATGTCAAAATCGAACCCAGTCTTGTATCCCGTGTAAATATTGTCTTTTTTGAAATGGGACGAGAGGATTTTGCCATCGGCAGTTGGGAATTGTTGACCTTCCTTCGAGTTGGACTAATACGGCATGATGTGCATAAGCCGCGCAAAGCATTTTACAACAATCTGACATTGAAAGAGAGCTGTCATTAGGACGGGCTTTAACATGCCAGCCTGCACAAGTTGGCCACAAGCCCGGCAGGCAAATGGTCCCAGCTCACGCGGAGAGTTCCGAGGGCCAAACAGGAGGGGCCGTGGGGGATAATTAGACAGTTTTATCCCGGCTTGTTGATATAAATGTGGCCGGCTGAGCCCCCTTACGCCCCTTGCGCCGTGGTAATGATCATGTCTAACAGGTGGCAGCTAAACAGACGGGGCCATGAAATGGATATCTTGCTTCCTGACGAGTCTCCTTTTTTTTTTTTTTTTTTTTTTGTTGGAAGTTTTGTTTGGTTTTCCGGCCCCAATCAGAGTCCTCCTTTTCTCCGGTGTGGGTTGCTTACCGGATCGTCAATGTGAGGGAGTGTTGGATATTTGTCACCATCTCATCACATTCTAGCTAATCTCAACCTCTCCCGGGGTTTGGTAGTGGTGGGGGTTGGGGGGGGGGGGATAGTGCAAAACTCACCAAAACATTCTCGAGTGGAAAACATTAGGTAGGTAAAAAGTTGGCTGTAAAAAAATGTCCTGTGTATTTTCTGTAAATATATTTTTCCTTGTACTGTTTTGGATTTTAAATCTAGTTTTTAATTAGATTTTAGAGCTGGTTTGTTTTTTTATCAGTTTTTATTTTCCCTGAAAATGCTTTGTTTTAGTTTTAGTATTAGTTTTATTTATTTTTTTAAATATAGCATATATTTTTAGTACAAGATAATAAAAAAAAAATCCGTCACCAAATATTGTGTCATAAAGTAAATTAAACTGCAATTCTCAAAAGACTGACTTCTTCTGGACCACCATAAAATCACACTGAAATGACGACGTGACATGACAACTCATGTGTGATATTAATTGAAAAAGACAAAGGACATTTTCGCTTTTTTAGTTAGTTTTCCATACGTAAAATGTAGTGTCAGTTAGTTTTCATCATCCAAAAGCACTATTGTTTTAATTTTAACTTGTGAACAAAATTTTCGTTACACTTCATTTTTTTTTTTTTTTTTTTTTTACTTTTCCGTTTACTGTAACAACCTTGTTGCGGGATGTGTTTTTGGGGCATTTCGAGCTTCTTTATTAAGTCATCTCCAACGCCGAGTCTGAGCGTAACTCCAAACCTCCGGCGTCCCGGCCAGATGGGGGGGCATGCTGTTGCGGCATGCGCGTGATGGGACACTGGAGACCGCTCAACTCCCGCTTCCAGATCCACTGTCATATAATGGATCATTGAGGGCAGAAAGAACCAGAAACATATGTATTGACATTCACTTCCTTCCCCGAAATGTGTAGAACAGATCTCGGCCCGTAGGCATTGCTCAATTTCCCCCTCCAAACGCGTTTTAATTTGAACAACCTTGTAAAGAAAGAAACGTGTCATTATTTTCGGTTGAAGGGGGTTGACTGCTTTTGTCAAGTGTTTGTTCTGTAAGCGAGGAGGGAAAAGTAGTAAATCGTAGCGGGGTCTCGAGCTTCCTGGCTCGGTTTGTGGTCTATTGTCTCCAGCCGTGTGGGGGCAACGGCAGTTTTAGGAGCTCGCTACTCAAAATGGTCACGCAGATGGATTTGGTTATGTTCCCTTTCTTGTCTTACTGTTATGTCAGGCCCAAAAAGCCAAATGTTGGCCTTTTCGTCAAGGACTAGTCCTTGGACCAGTGTTACATTCATTCCGAACATAGATGACATCATTGCCTCTTGTGAGCAAAACGATACATTTGCAGTATTTTTGGTTCCGGTAAACGTTTGAGCTAAGAAGAGCGTGAGTCCTGAATCCAACAGTTTGGGACCGGTTGTCGTCGTACGGTGGAAAAGGTAAGCTTTGCCGCCATTTTTCCACACCGCCTTTCAACAGCGTTGAACCTTTGCGGCGATGTCAACCCGCGCTTGTTAAAACAGCCGCTGAAGGCAGGTCGCGCCGCCGATGTCCCGTCGGTTTTTGAAGCGGTCGTGTGCGCATCTCTCGGCCGAAAACCCCTCCCACGTTCAATTGTGTCTCTCTGACCGAAAGATCCCCGAGACGGTTCCCATGTAAGTATGTCAAACTGGCATTTGCCCAAATGGCTCTGATGTCTCTCGACTGCAAAGAATATTGTCATTGTCTGAGTCGGCTGGCAACATGTTTTATTTTTAGCCGGACTTGTTCCCGCACGCACAAACACACACGTACGCACGACTATAAGATAAATTGAGAGCTCATTTTAACCCCTCGAGCCACAGTTCCTCACAGTCAGCTTGCACTTGAAAAGGTGTACATTGTCTTGAAGGGAAAAGCATATTTAGTTATTTGAGAAAAAAAAAATAATCTATTGATAGCAATGCGGCAATATCGTCATAAAAAAATTGATTCATCAGTGACTGATTGATTATTTCTGCATACTGCGGATTTCCATCAGAGTGGCATCTAAATGTTTTCCTGTTGTGGCCTCAACCAACAATCTTGACTGGGCCCAAATATCTCTTTTGCAGTCGAGCTATTAACGATTTGCTGAGGCCTTTCAAAAACATTCAAATTCCTTCGAGGTACGTTACTATAAGGCACCAACCAAAAGACAATCAGGGAAAATTATAGCGGCGAAGAAAAATGATACGATATGTTTGCATTAACCCAACCGAGACGGAAAACTCCACTTTTTGGGGGGGGGAGGGGCCTCTAGAAAAAAAATTGCAATGCGCACACAAAGACGCCCGTTTTCCATAGAATTTTTTTGGGGGGGAGGGGCCTCTAGAAAAAAAATTGCAATGCTTATTAGGGGGAGTTTGAGAGAAAAAATGTCTTTAGTGTATTGGGGTGAATGACTTGGGAGACGCATTAGAACGCCCCGTCGTAGCGATTTAGAAGATTGACATTGCATCCCATCGAGGCCGAATTTACAATGTAAATACAGCTCGGTTCTACTGATATTTGGGCCAGCGGAGCAGGCCCTAACCGCCCTCCACCGTATAGTATCACCAGCATTTTCGCACCTGTCCACCGAGTTTGTGGAACGTGTTGCAGTCGAGCTCACTCGTGATCTCAAGCTCACGATTGCAACGTTTTAATCTCTCGTGAGAGTACGCTGCACAAAAACAAAACTACGGGGACTCGCTTACGCTTCCCGCGAACTCGGGCCTTCATCGCAGCAGCTGTCCGAGTGACGCCGCGCCGCATGTGTTTATTTAAATCAACGTTGTCCAGGTGATCCGCGTGCACGTTTAAAATACAAACGCCGTTTCCAGTAGTGAGAAGGGGTCCGCGTGGAGCGCTTCCATTTTATTTCATGGCTATTATTATACTTCGTCAGAATCTAAAGGTCACACACGCAGCGAGAGAACGGCTGCGCCTCGCAACCAAACGAAGGTTAACAAAGACAGGAAGATTAAATAATACATTCATCACGTTGTGAGGGGCGGAGGGCCAAGTTCATGTCAAATCCATAACAAGCAAAGTATCCTCGGCCGGGATCATTTCCCCGCACGCACGTCACACGCCGCTGGAAATCCACGAAGAGGATGTATTGATCTTGCCGGAGCTTCCTTTCTCACAAAGGCCACAAACGGAGCCGCCGTATCACAAAGCGAGCCCCCCGCTCTCGTCTCCCAGCCCCATAAAGCGAAATAATCAATTCAACGGTTGCCAAAATAATCCCGAGACCTTTTGTGCGTGCGGCCGGCGCTTCTGATCCGATATCGCCTTCCCTTTGATTCACTCGATGAAAATAGCCCCGAGTCGTGTTGGGAAAGGCCTTTCGCTTTCTCACACGGGCTTCTTGACTGCCACATAAGAAACCCACAACACAGCAAGGGGGCGCGCGGTTGAGGCGTTTTGCGATCCCTTAAAAAGTGGCGTCGCGGCGAATCAACTCCAGGCTCATTTGTGTGCTCTTGTAATCGTGCTTTTATTGAATCGCTGATCGTTTATAGCCACCGCCGAGTCTCTTCCGAGCAAAGCACTTATTTGCTACGCATTCCTCACATGGTTCCGTCCAATCAAAGCGGCTGCGAATGCCAACCGAACCCCCGAAATCAACTCGGGGCTTTGATTTGCATCATTGGTTTTGAAGCGAGAGGCAAATGGACCACATCTGCGGGGACCTTCATCAGACACAAGATGTTTGGCCCGAGCTCTGACATTGTGGGGTTGAGTTATTGGCGCTTTGTCTTTTATAG